CCCCACCCCTGAGTACAACTAAATTAAGTACGACTCTGGCAAAGACCATATTTTCATTTTTCTTTAGGGGGAGATTAAATGGTATACGAACATGGAACCAACAGATTCTATTTGGGTTTCTGGAATGTGATAAACTTATCAGGTAGGATGTGAGATACATGCAATCTTTTCTTTATTTTTTTTCCTCTTCAGTATCTTCTCCCTCCTCCCCCTTTTCCACCTAGAGGCATTTAAGGTGGTTTGAGCATTTTGACTACCAGAATCATTGTTGATATGTGAAATTGCTGTTACTAATAACTGATAACACACTATATCAGAAATAAGATGCTTTCTCTGACAAGAAGAAATGAAAAAGTTGGTCCATGAAATTTGTCTAATGTCAAAACTCCTAAGTCAAATTCCTGTACAGACAACCAAATACAAATCTAACTAGTGAACTTACTGCAACTTCCACATGATCTGTTCCTTTGTCATCCTGCTTGTGCAGAATTTCAAAGTAATATTTGTTTGCAGCTGACAATCTGTAAGGGAAGATCAGAGATTAAGGCAAAATAAGTCTTTTGCTATCAATGCAGTGTATTAAAGTTATAGCGTGGTGCAGTGGCCTAAAGGTGGAGCTCTCACCTCACAATCAGGAAGCTGTGAGTTCGAATCTGATATTTCTCTCTCTATGGGCACACTGAGAATATATTTGCTGAACAAAACTCCACATTGGTGACAGGAAGGGCATCTGGCCATTCAAACACTCTGCTAGCTCCGTTCAGTTGTCCAGACCAGGGGTGGGATCAGAGGTGGCATTCAGCAGGTTCTGACCAGTTCTAAAGAACCGGTAGCAGAAATTTTGAATAGTTCGGAGAACCAGCAAATATCACCTCTGACTGGAGATTTAAAAGTATCCTTCCCCTGCCACGCCCACCAAGCCACGCCCACAGAACCAGTAGTAAAAAAAATTGAATTCCACCACTGGGTGGGATGCTACCGGTTCTGCCTGGCTCTATAGAACTGGTAGCTCTGAAGAGCAGCAGACACCAAACCGGTTCTGTGTTTGCTGCTGTTTGGCCCACCCACCTGCCTGGGCTCTTACCTGTCCTTTATTTCCTGCCTTTTCAACCTTAGCTGCTTTGCATGGCACAGCTGAGGTTGAAAAAGCTGGAAAAAAGAGGCTTTTCAAACGCTGTGCACCTCTACGCTGCGCTTTTCAGCTCTCAGGGCGGCACAGCTTACGTTTTTTTTTTTACATGCACGCACAGCAAAACATAGTCACCGAACCTAGTAACACCGATTGAATCCCACCCCTGGTCCAGATCCACCCTGCCAGGGATTATGGGGTCATTAAAAGAAGATGATGACAACGACAGTGTATTAAAATTATTGAAGAGGACATTTTGAACTAGTTTCCAAGAAAAGCATAACCGCACTTGTTCAGGGCAGATGATGAGATTACTTTCTTCCCACATGGGAAGAAGGTGGGATAGTTTTCTTGACATCTTCTCTCGATTCATCTTTCTTTCTAAGAGGCCCCATCACTAGGTTCTACAATATTTTGGACCTTCTAGGTGGTAAAGTTAATTAATCAGCCAGGCAAAGTAATATTATGGCAGGTTAAAGGAGAAAACCATAATATGTTCTTTGTGCATGTTGAATTCCAGAGTATGGAGCAGCCAATGTATAGATGATTTAAGGTGCCATATGATCATTTCAATCAATCCATTAATAACATGTGAATGTATGCCTGGCATTTGAAAAATGTGGAAATAAAGCATGGCAGATGCTCTTTCCTTACTGCTGGGTTAAAACACTAGCCAACTCTCCTTGAACCTGTCGAAAGCTACACCGGGGTGACATGTGCTTGTTGCCAATCCCTATCTGCCTGTTGTTCTGTGTCGCTACTAAATGGAATTCCTCTGGATTTGTTTTCTCCCACTTCCACTCATCACCGGTTGGGAGGAAAAAAGATTCCCATTATTCATCCTGCAGGATGATTCAGGAATCCTGGCCACTGTGCTCTCTAGGCTTCTTCTTGTGCCTTGTAGATCCATTTTGTTGTTTTTGTGTGTGTGTGGGGGGGGGGCTTCAATCAGCACTGAGTCTTGGCAACTGTCTGGACAAGGTTCTGAAGTTTTTGTGAAAATGTTTTTAGAAGTGGTTTGGCCTTGCTTCCTTCTTCCTAGGGTTGAGAGAGAGAGAGTGACTGGCCCAAGGTCACCCAGCTGTCTTTGTGCCTAAGGTAGGTCTAGGGTTCATGCTCTCCCAATTTCTAACCTGATGACTTAACCATTAAATTAAACTTTCAGAATTGAATACAATAAACAACCACACAACAGACTGGAGTTATGAAGAGAGTAGTAATGGTGGGAGGCTGGGCCCATCCTTCTAACAATACAAAGCTTTAACCTTGCGTTTAATCAGTAGCGTTCAAACTCGCGCACTACAGCCAACTGAGCTGATGAACTGTACTGGAAAATTCTGCACCTAGCTGTCAAGAAACTCAATGGCAGAACATTGACTGATGAGACTGACTGCAGATTAGAGAGAAAGAAGCATATCTGCATAATTTTGAAGCTGCCACTGAATATCTCAGTTAGTCTCTAATGTAATGGGCGGGGAAGCATGATAGATTTTATATAAACCTTGTGCCTGTCACTGAATCCAATTGCCTTAAAGAGGGAAACAGTCCTCTAACATCTAAGAATGACATAAACCTGTCTCATTCATGAGTTGGGAACAAGATGATAGCCATGCCAAGGAAAATTGGTGGAAACAAGATATTGCCAGAACTTGTTTATGCCAAGGTTAGGTGCAAATGGGGAAATAGCCCAGGGGAAAAGGGGACCAATAATGTGGGTGCTCCTTGCTGCTCTCTGAGCTTGGTGTTTTTCTTGCCAGACGTTGCATGATCAAACTAGGTAACATCATCAGTGCCAGCCAGTGGTAGGATGCTGCCGGTTTAACAATCGGTTTGAATGTATATTGAACGTTATAACCTTAAGGTATACATTGAAGTTTAAATAAGAGTTGAATGGATAAAATTAAAAGATATAAAGGTGTCATACTCCAATTAGTAACTACAGGAGAAAATTTGTTTAATGAGAAAAGATCACATGAAATTGAAACAGGACAGACAAAAGTATAAACACAATGATTTGAATTGAGATGAGATAATCAAAATAAAGTTGAGAAAATTAAAAGAGGGGAAAAACTATATCGAAAATGCAAAATAGTAATAAGATATGGAATAGAACACAAAAATGAGCATGAAATTGAGTTTGTGTCTGCATAAAGAAGTTCAACCCGGGACCATGCTATTTTCAAAAAAAGATGTTTTACTTGTATTTTGTGTGTGTGAAAACCCAAATAAAACTTTATTTTAAAAAAATCGGTTTGGTGAGTGCGTGCGTGCTTGCGCTGAAAATGGAGATTTAAAAGCTCAGCTGCTTACCTTCCAAGTCAGCAACGGTAAGTAGAACAGCGAGGAGGGGAGGGGGAATATCAGCTGTGCCATGTGATTGAGATGAGCTACAAAGCAGGAAATAAAGGACAGGATAGGGCAGGGGGGCAGGTGGGCAGGGCCAACTGATCATCATAATTACCGGTTCGCGACTGGCGCCATCACATTAGCACTTGTTTTAGTAATGCAATGTCTTTAAGAAAACCACCAAACTCAGAGAGCACCATGGACCACAGTCCAACCCAAAGCTCTTCTCTTCTACTGGATCAATAGATGTGTGGAAACGTATACCACTGGCCACTAGGGAGCACTCTGAAACTATTTTGAGCAAGTAAAAAAACTCCATGTGCAAACATTTTGAAGTCGCAGAGATTTAGAATTAAAAAAAAAACACAGTGGCAAAAGACTTGAAAACTGAGTTTAAGATAGGAAAGAAGACAGGGCTACCTGGATTGCATGTAGCTGAGTAGTGTACAAAACAGAATTAAGATCCCAGCTTACTCACTTCACGAGCCTTGACTTTTGGCTCTTGAATTTCCCAAATTCACCTGGTGCTGTCCACTCTTTTCCAGTCTGAACAAAGATACAAAACATCCCTTTTAGATTTGGTTTCAGTCGCATAAAGCCCAAACGCATTTGTTTCACTCACTATGTAATTGTGTACAAAAGATTAAGCACAGATTAAATAGCATAATAAACATTGTCCATGGTAATTAAAGAAAAGGAATGCTCTTAGACTGCTACTTGCTCTTGGCCTTCGAGACAAGACAGCATCTCTGTCAAAGCTGGATGAGAGATATAAGAATAGATGAACTGTAGTGGAAGTGGAAGAGGCTATTCACCTACTAGATTTGCCGTCTGCTACAGTGTCATTCTTGGCTGACCCACATTTAGATGGGTGCAGTGTGGCTGTGACTGAGTAAACGAGGCCAAAAGGAGAAGCAGAGACAAAGCAAAAATTATGCGCTATAAATATTGAATGAATATATGCAGCCATGCATGAATGAATGAAATAAGACATTTCAAGAGCGGGCTAACATAGACAAAAAGCATGAAAATTTTAGAAGGTAGGATAGCATGCTCTTACACCTTTTGTTACCATTTTTTTTAATTTTATAAAGTTAAAAAACAAAAAACCCTTCCTTTTAAAATATCCAAATACTTTCGAAATGTGACTTTGCATGACGATAGTCCATACGTTTAAATTGATAACATTCTGCCTATTTTTCATTATCATCTTCATTTGTGTAACCCAAACATCACAAGAGAGATTGTTTTCATAGTTTGAGAACTCATGAAGACTAGAACTGGAATCTTCATGGCCCGTGAATTAATACATCCAACACGTAACAAACATATGTGGTTATGAAATGTTAATATTATGTATAAGACAAGTTGCTGTGATATATACCCTTAACTCTTTTGGAGTTCTACGCTACGTTGGGTATCTGTAGATAGTAGAATTAAATGGGAACTGTTTTACATTATTTTCTCATTTCATTTTTAATTTCCCATTTTGTATCCCGCTACAAATCTGACAGTTGGTATCTCTGGTCTCTGTAATAGTCCCAGGTAATTCTATAATTCTTACTACACTATGGGATACTTGAGAATATATGACAGCTCTCAAGCATTAAGATATAATGGTTGAAAGATGAATTAATCTCAATAGTAAATTGATATTGTAAAGTTGTATTGATTTCAAGTGCACAACATTTATTAATTTATATGGACAACTCTTTTCTTTTGAAGTGTAGTAATAGCAATAGCACTTAGACTTATATACCATTTCACAGTGCTTTCTAGCCCTCTCGAAGCGGTTTACAGAGTCAGCCTATTGCCAATCTGGGTCCTCATTTTACCGGCCTCAGAAGGATGGAAGGCTGAGTCAACCTGAGAATCGAACTGCCGAACTGCCAGCAGCCGGCAGTCAGCCGAAGTAGCATGCAGTACTGCATTCTAACCACTGTGTCATCACATGTATGTTGTGCATGAAATAAAAAAATTGAAAGAACGTGGTTGATCACCTTGCCTACATTGGCCATCAGTTGAAGCTCTGAGATGTTTTTTCCTTGGCTCAGCCAAAACTCGGCATTGTCATCAGCCCCAATCGCAAACTGAAACATACCTACAGGAATTTAAAAATAAAACTGGATTTAAAAGTAAGAAATATTCTAAACAGATGGGAAATGGTGTTCCATGCCAGTGGAAGCGGAGTGATGTATCTTTCATAAAAAATATCATCTCTGTTGAATGATATGACGATGTTTCTTTAGTTTTTCACACAGTAACAATTTGCAAAAATTGGAATAAATCCAATGGTAGAACAAACAGTTAAACTTTGTGGTGCATATCTGCACTCTTAGCAGATATCCAATGAGAACCATTTTCCTAATGCATATTAATGTTTGATTGATTTTTAACCATTCATATTTTTACCATCTACCAAAGAAGTCCAGCTAGCATCAATTGTGATGCCGAGTATCCATTCAAGAAGCTTCAAACACAACTTACTTTTGGAGCATATACAGGTTTGTACTATACAGGTAGTCCTCGACTTACAACATTTAGTGACTATTTGAAGTTACAATGGAACTGAAAAAAGGACTTAGGATTGTTTCTCACACTTACACCCATTGCACGTGATCAAAATTCAGACGCTTGGCAACTGGCTTGTATTTATGATGGTTGCAGTGTCTTAGGATCATGTGATACCCTTTTGCGACCTTCTGACAAGCAGAATCAATGGGGAAATCAGATTCATTTAACAACCATGTTAACAACCGCAGTGTGTCAACTCATAAAATATTTCTGTGGTCTTTTAGAGTTGCCAACAGAAAGGGAGTGGGATACAGCGGGCAGCTTGAATTCCATAAATGTTTTCAAAGATAGTTTCCAGGCAACCGAAGTTTCTGCCATGCAAAATTCTAACCGGAGAGCATGATTGATGACTCTTGGCTATGGATGTGTCTCATTGGAGAATATGAATTATGATACACCCAGGGGGTGGGGGGAAACTAGGGTCAAGGGTGACAATGAATTATGTGTCTCAGAGTCGGCTACACCCAGGCAGTGCCGCATCTTTTAACTCCTAATAAATCCTTTTGCAGTTTGGCTAGACACTCATGATTTAAATGGGGTTTAAGTGTCGGAATCCTGACACAGTGATTTGTTTAACAAATGTGGCAAGAAAATGGGACAAAATTCACTCAACAAATATCTCACTTAGCAATGGAAATTTTGGGCCCAATTGTGGTTGTAAGTTGAGAACTATTTGTGTTTGATGAGGAGTGTAAAGTTTAAACAGAAAAGTAAGACAAAAGCCCTTTAAAGCCCTTCATGGCTTGGGACCAGGTTATCTGAGGGACTGTCTCTTGCTGATCACATCTACCCAACCCATTAGAGCCAGGAGACAAGGAATGTTGCGGGTCCCATCCCTGAGGGAGATACACCTGGTGGGACCCAGAAGAATGGCCTTCTCTGTGGCGGCTCCCTCTCTCTGGAACATCATCCCCTCAGAGATTAGAATGGCCCCCACTCTATCACTCTTCCGGAAAGCACTGAAGAGCTGGTTCTGCCAGCGGGCCCGGGGAATATAGAGCAGGATGGAGCCCATTAAATGGCTCGTGTGATGTGTTGTAACCGGGGGGGGGGGGGGGTATTATATTATTTTATTAATTTTAAATATGATTATCCTCTTTTTATTAGTTTTATTGTTTTATATGTGATGTTTTTATATTCCTGTAAGCTGCCTTCAGTCGCTATGTGCAAATAGGCAGCAATATAAATTCCCTAAAATAAATAAATAAAAAGAAATGTAAACAATAGAAAATTTAGGGGTTAATAACGCAGAATAGAGCAAGTGGTGATAAACACAGAACATTGTCTCGGTGTCCAGAAACCCGTGATAACTCCAGATTCAAACATTAATCTGCCATAAAGATGACACTGTCTAAGAAAAGGACTTACATTTAGTGCAATAGACTTAAGCATATACTAATCTATGGGATGCATTCAGCAACACTCTTATGTATTTACTCAGCAGCAGGTCAGAATCCACATGTGGGCCTGTACAAAGGAGTAACAAATATAAAGGATACATTAATAGTGTTATTTAAAAGCTATGGAACTCTGTTAGATCCATGCTATTCCATGCTTGTAAAGTTGTTTGTAATACAGCCAATTCTACTCTTCCCTTACCATCCTTGTATGGATGCAGGTAACCAAATATCCGTAATCCATAGTTTCTCCATTTGGGTGATACTGCTAGCTTCTTCAAAGTAGTCCGTGTCTAGAAGTATAAGAAAAAGGAAATGTTAGCATTATTGAATTGAGCTGCAGTAAGATAAAGGAATGGAGTAGAAAGAACAAAAAGGAACGGTTAGGAATTCTGAAATAAGATCGAGGCTATTCAGAGAAACGGAGCACGGGCAAGAACAAAACAATGTCAGGATAGAGCTGGAAGGGACCTTGGAGGTCTTCTAGTCCAGCCCTCTGCTCAAGCAGGAGATTCTATGCCATTTCAGATAGGTGGCTGTGCAGTCTTTTTAAAAGAACCTCCAGTGATGAAGCACCTACAACTTCTGAAGGTAAGCTGTTCCACTAGTTAATTGTTCTCATTGTTAGGGAGTTTCTCCTTAATTCCAGGTTGCTTCTCACCTTGATTAGTTTCCATCCATTGTTTCTTGTCCTGCCTACAGGTGATTTGGTAAATAAGTTGACCCCCTCCTCTTTATGGCATCCCTTCAAATACGGGAATCCTGCTGTCATGTCACCCGTAGTCCTTCTTTTCTCCAGACTAGCCATACCCAATTCCTGCAACCATTCTTCATATGTTTTTGTCTCCAGGCCTTTAATCGTCTTAGTTGCTCTTCTTTGCACTTTTCCCAAAGTCTCAACATCTTTTTTGTAATGTGTTGCTTCATGCTCAGGCTGTGACTTGAATAGTTCAACGTTTTAAAGCAATCATTTTTACTAATATCACTTTGCTGTCAGCATCAGTAATCTCTGGCTTCTAAAGCAATGAGCAACTTGCACTTAACATAGCAGTGCGGATCCCAAAATATCAAGTGTAGCAGCAACTTCAGCCCTATCATTCTAATTCTTGCCAACACGTAATCTTGTACAAACTAAGTTTAAAAATACAGTAATCTTGTCCAAAGAGCCATGTTTTATTATTTAAAATAAGAACAAGCTTAACCTAAGCCCAGCTTTGAACTCATTCCAATGTATATGCCCTTATTTCTTATGCAGGCAGCACTGGAAGCATTTGTTTGCACATTCTTCACACTCATGTTATCCAGACCCAATAAACTAAAATGAGCTTTATCTAAATTCTTCTATAAACAATTCCAAGTGCAAATCGTAATTATTTTGTGTCAGAAGGTCATAATCTTAATTTTGTTTTAAATGTTGTTACGGATGGTAAGAAAGGCAGTGACGTCAACAAACCATGATTTAGAAAATCCTGAATTAAATGTATCCAAACACTATTGGAAGGCAGAATTCTTTCTTCATTTTGTAAAAGAGGAGAATGTGGGCCTAAAGAAGTTCAAATTATTTTATTTTACACACATTTTGAGAGGACCCAGCTCTTTGGAGAAAGCTCTAGCACTGGGTAAGGTAGTGCTAGAAGGAAAGAGAAGAAGAGGATAGCCAGCAGTAAAGTGGGTGGACTCCATTACAATGATAATTAGTGCACAGTTGGAAGACCTGAGAGACTAGGTCAGGCACAGATCCTTGTGGAGAAAGTCTATCAGAGGTCTCCAAACTTGGCAACTTTAAGATTTATGGACTTCAACTCCCAGAATTCTCCAGCCAGCATAGCTGAAGTCCACAAGCCTTAAAGTTGCCAAGTTTGGGACCCCTGATCTATGTGATTGCTAGGAGTTGAAAACAACTTGATGGCACATCATCAATCAATAGGCCTAAAAGGATACTCACATGAGGATACAAAGGAAAGTGAAGATTTCTCCTCAATTGTTCAATAGATGCACCACACCAGTCTTCAAAAACATGAAGATTTACTTGACCTTGGAACTGCAAACATATGAAAATGCAACAGTTTTTGTTATTCAAATGCCCCTATAATCTGTTACATTATTTTACAACTTAAAGGCTAAAGATTACAAGATAAACGAGGCGCTCAGGAAGGTTACATGGCATCCTCCATGAAAATGTAACCAACTTGGGTGATTGCAAGTTGTGATTCTCAACCTGTGTTTAGGGATCACTATTGGTCCACATGGGTACTGCAAACGGACCATATTCCAAGCACTGAAATAGATTTTTTTTCTTTTTCTAAAAACAAATGGCCAAAATCTTGTTGGATTCCCAAATCAGGATATTTCAATTAGGAACACAATAATCTTATTTAACACAGTTTGATCTAAATTTGATCCTGCACAAACCAATTGTGTGAACTCTACGTGCTGGGGTGCCTGAAGGTATCACTTTGCCAACCTCTGTCTTATATGGAGGTCCTTAAATATTATGGATGGCAAAGTGATGCTCTTCATAGAAGAAATATTGGCAATTGCAATTTTTTTAATCCTATTATATGTAACATCATAAATCACATTTCCTCCACATGCTGTCCTCCAGAAGAGTGAGACTTGTAGGCATATCTTACACCTGGGCTTGCTGGGAATTTATCCATAAAGCTCAGGTGAGTCAATAAAGCCTTAGATAACTATGCTGTTTAACTTTGATTCTTCAATCTAAATTGTGCATTTTCTGGAGAAATTGCTCATGCCCTCTTCCTTCCTTCCTTCCTTCCTTCCTTCCTTCCTTCCTTCCTTCCTTCCTTCCTTCCTTCCTTCCTTCCCTGCCTTTCTTCTTGGTGCAGAATCAAGCCTCTGGTTCCTCAATTAATTTGTTTGACTCCATCCAAATAAAAACCTAAATAAATACAATAATGGATCCTTTAGTCTTGGCTTCAGTTTCTCGTTTTATCATTCAAAGTTTTATTAGTTCCTCCAAATATAATATAAAATACAAACATACAAGACAGAATAATAGGAAAATAAAGGGTGGGGAAAGGGAAAAGTGTAGGGCAAAGGGAACAAAGAAGAAAAACATTGACTTCTGACTCCTTTTGGTGCAGTTGAATAAGACAATAGCATCAAACCTCAACTTTTTTACTTTTATATAATAAATGAACTAGTCATTTCTATAACAACAAACCTATCTAATCGGCAAGACCCAAAATCAAAGTTTCATTTTCCCCCACCTCAAGGACAAAGTCCAAAAGTGGTTTTCAAGTAAAAACAAAGTTAATTATGTTCTTGCCTTCAGTTTCTGACTTTAGATAGACTCATAGCAGGTTGGAGAAAAAAAGACATTTAAACAGCAACAAGGTTAATATTTTGGAATGGCACTATCTATGAAAATCTAAAGGTGTGGAGATTTACTTACAGTGCATGTAATTAAAATATTACCTCTAGGTAACGTTGAAATTCATATTATCTAATTTTATTATAGAATTTAACACATCTTTAAATATAGTACTTGATGCAATGGCACTGGAGATAAACTGATATGTATGTTTTGACAGCTTGGTTCACTTTGCTTCAACTACTGTATACTAAACATTTTACTGGAATGTGCCAATGTTTTTCTAAAGCAAATATTATAGGTGTAAATTAGGAATGAGACAGTCAATTAATTGAAAATATGTATCAAAACCTAAAATCAATAGCAATTCCCTGTTATCAGTATTCTTCATAGCTTATTCAAATTTCTTCTGGGTAATGGGTGCAATAGCCATTTGCACTTTATTAAAAGGGTAAATGAGCAGCAATAGAAGCTGGGATATAATCTAAGGATGTCCAAGGTCCAGAATTATGCCAAATTTAATAGACATTTTAATTTGAGAACTTTACGAAGAGAGCTGTGAAAATATTTACAGAACCTTCCCATCCCAGACATAAACTGTTTCAACTCCTTCCCTCAAAGTGGCGCTACAGAGCACTGCACACCAGAACAACTAGACACAAGAACAGTTTTCCCCCCGAACGCCATCACTCTGCTAAACAAATAATTCCCTCAACACTGTCCAACTATTTACAAAGTCTGCACTACTATTACTACTAACCTTCTCATCACTCCTTATCACCCATCCCCTCCCACTTGTGACCGTATGACTGTAACTTTGTCACTTGTATCCTTATGATTTATATTGACTCTTTCCTAATATGATTTGATTGCTTATTGTACCCTATGACTATCATTAAGTGTTGTACCTGATGATTCTTGACTCTTGATGAATGCATCTTTTCTTTTATGTATACAGAGAGCATTTGCACCGACAAATTCCTTGTGTGTCCAATCACACTTAGCCAATAAAAGAATTCTAATTCTAATTATTTGTCTTGTCTGAGGCCTAACACATCTTCATTTAGATGTAGAATCTCTGTTCTAAAAACAACTAAATTTTTTACTGTAAAGGGCAATGACTAGTAAGTAGACTATTTTCACTATTTTAATTTCTTAATTCCTTAAAAAAGTAGACAATGACTATGTTATCTTGTGCCAAATTTCCATTGATGAGAACAAGATCAAAGAAACAGTCCCATGCAATTCCTTCACCTCATACCATGTAAAAAGAAATAAAATGAAGTGATGTCTACTCATGTTCAATAATGTCTTTATCACATACAGTGTATTTCTTTCTGGCAGTATGCAAAAAGAAAAAAACCCCAAGCAAAATAATTCAAAAATATTCCTCTGAGAAGCACCCACAAAGCTGCCAAACTAACTTTCTCCATGAAAGATCTTCTAGGGCAGCTGAAGCCCAGGAGGAAAGGTGAGGCAAGAGTTCTTAAAAATAGTAAACAGATTGCCTGCAACCTCCCCAGAGCTGCATCATGTGAGAGGGGGAAAAGGCTATTTTTTCTGCAATTTCAAATACACTAGATTTGGACCAAAAATATATAGGCTTAGCATATGGACATTAAGCGGGTGCAGTGGCTCAGTGGTTAAAGACACTGAGCTTGTCAGCTGAAAAGCCGACAGCTGAGGTTTGAGACCCAAGCACTGCACGACGGGGTGAGCTCCTGTTCTTGCTCCAGCTCCTGCCCACCTAGCACTTCAAAAGTATGCAAATGCAAGTAGATTAATAGGTGCCACTTTGGTGAGAAGGTAACAGCATTCTGTGCACCTTTGCCATATAGCTGTGCTGGCCACATGACTACATAAAGTGTCTTCAAACAAGGCTGTCTCCCTTGGCTAAGAAACAGAGATGAGCACACCGTGCCCTAAAGTCAGATATGACTGGACAGGAAACCTTTACCTTTTTACCTTATGGACATTATCAATACCTTAAAAACGTATTTTGGAACTGGCACTGAGTCCTAATGTAGGAGTACCCTGACTTCCATTTGTAGGCACTGCTGGTTTCATGCAGTGCATCATAAATATACCAATCAACATACAAGCAGGAGGTATAAAATAGTTTTTAAAATGGATTTCAAATTCTCACTTCTAAGGCCCACTTCTTTGGGGACAGATGTTATGAGGAGAATAGATCTGCAGAACAACATGAGAGAGAAAAATTGACAGATCTTGTGCAGGCAGCCAATCCCTAATCATTTCTCCATAAGAAATCTTTTCATAGGTCACAAGCTTCCTCACAAAATGAATACTTCAGCTTTAATCATAACAATACAAGAACACACAATAGATACAAACTCAAGGTTAACCGCACCAAACTTGACTGCAGAAAATATGACTTCAGCAACAGATTGGTCAATGTTTGGAATACTCTACCTGACTCTGTGGTTTCTTCCCCAAACCCTTTAACCTTAGACTGTCTACTATTGACCTCACCCCCTTCCTAAGAGGCCTGTAGGGGGCGTGCATAAGTGCACCAATCGTGCCTACGGTCCCTGTCCTATTGTTTTTTTAATTTTTCTTATAAGTATCTCATGTATTCAAAACAATATTTATTCTTATACCTGTATCTTGGAAGCGATTAACAAATCAAATAAATACTAAATACAACATGTTGTGAAGTAGAGAGCAATCATGACAAGAAGAAAAAAAAATGGAGAAGGTTATTGAGAATGTTTCCTTATTCTACATTTTCTAAATGGCCTTCAGAAAGTTGAAAAAATTGTAGGTCTTTAGGGAAACAATCAAATATATGTTTAAGCAGGGGTGGGCTTCAAAGATTTTAGCCAAGGGTTCTCTGCCCAGTTGCTGGGTGGGCGTGGCCATGCTGGGTGTGCCCTAGCCAGCCTCCTGCACCATGGTGGGGGGTGGGTGGGTTTTTTTGCCTTCCCTGGACTCCAGAGGCTTTCCTTGAGCCTTGAGGAGGGGAAAAAGGCCTCCCCAGGCTCCAGAGGCTCTCTGGAAGCCAGAAACAGGCCCACTTCCTACCTTCCTGAACTTCTGGGAGGCTCGTTTTTCACTCTCCCTGAGCCTCCACACGCATCCTGCACTTACCTGCATCCAAAATGGGTCATGTGGGAACTCCTAGGAGGGGAGGGGCAGGGTGGGTGGGGCCAGCCAGGACTGGGATATGTGGGTTCTCTGAACTGCATAGAATCTCACCTAGGGGCTCTCCCGAACCCCTGCAAACCCACAGCAGCCCACCCCTGTGTTTAAGATGAGAGTAAAATTTAGGACATGTATTCCTTGAAATATGCACATTTACTTCTAAATATAAGGCTTGTTTATTATATTTATACCCCTTCCAGGGGTGGGATTCTACCAGTTCGCACCTATTCGCTAGAACCGGTTGTTAACATTCTAAGCAGTTCGGAGAACCGGTTGTTAGAAGAAATTACTGGCCTAATCCTGTCAGGAAGGCAGGAAGGAAACATTCTGGTGTTGCTTACAGAAACTGTCTCTCCGTTAACCCTTATTACATTCTTGGCAGGACTAGACTTCCTGTCTAAGGAACGTCTCTGAAGGTTTTTCCCTCCTTTGGTGGTACTTTGCTTGTGTGGAGTGACCATTCAAAGTTACAATGGCACTGAAAAAAGTGACTTATGACCCTTTTTCACACTTACAACTGTTGCAGCATCCCCACAGTCATGAGAGGCCAGGCAAGGAGATGTGTACCTCGATGTGAGTGATGT